CCTGGTACTACCTGCTGTCCTGCTGTTCTGTGTCTTTGTTACTTCTTGTGTTTTATTTCATGTCTAGAGGTTGAAGCTGCTGGACTGAACTTGATTCAGTTCCCTCTGCGTTCCCTCCATGAAGCTGCAGTCCCGTGTCTTCCTGCCTGCCACTTAGCGTGCCTCCCTTGCTGCGCTCCAAGCCACACCCGTGTGTTAATGCAGCGCTGCATGGCTGCATGGCTGCATGGCTGCATGCCTATACTTAGGCAGCAGCTAACCGCAGCAGAGCTCTTGGTTTCTCAGTGACATCTCTGGTAAATTCCTTCAGTTTTCTGTGGTGGATAAAGTGAGTTTGACTTGCTGCAGCATTTTTACTCATCACATGTTTTGCTGCAGCCAGAAGCACAGAAAGGTTTCACAGGCAGACAGAAACTGGAGATCAACAGAAACCAGAAAATATTTTTAATCCATCCAGTTACACATAAGTGGACAGGCTGACGGTTCTGCTGGTGAATCTGAGCTGCAGGAGACAAAGTTCAGCTTCGGTCAGAAAGTCTCTCAGCAGGAAGTCTGAGTTCAACTCTGCTGACAAACTAAATATAGAAGTGGGACAACGTTTGCTTTCCTGATGGAAACAAATCTGACAAATTGAACATAAAGAGTTTATATTTAAAGTCAATAATTCTGCAATATTAATTAAAAGGAGAAAAACACCCTGTTTTATATTTTTATCAGGTTTTTCTTATTTTTTACAGTGTAAGAACCAATTTATACAGTTTGTGAAGAGAAGTTGATTTAAGAGGCTCCACGGTCTTTGAAGGCATTATGACTAGTTAAAATAGTCTAAGTGTGTGTGTGTGTGTGTGTGTGTGTTTGGGGGATACATCAGTGTCATCTTCGGCTCCAGCTCCTCTCTGGACGTGGAGCCATGAAACCTCTGACTCTGGATCTGGAGCTGCAGAGCTGCAGTGTGGAGGATTCAGCGGAAATGAGGAGAAATGAACTCTGGTCGACAGTCACAGACTAATATTCCTCCTCCATCATTCTCCAGGCCTCCTTCCCTTCCAGTGCATTAAAAGCGCATTAAATATCATTAAACTAACGACCATATTCCTCTGAAATTGCTCTAATAATCATTTAACATGAGACTTTTTCCTCTCTTTGACCGGATAATCGCTATTTTCGGGGTTATTTCCGCGCGCCGAGGCGCAGCGAGGGCTGGGGCCGGAGGGGGCGTGTGTTGGACGGACGGGGCGTGGATGTGGGTTTCCCGTGGAGCACCGGGACCAGACCCCGCGGAGGACCAGCCGAACATCCCGGCATGCTGCTCTCCAGTCTGGGGACGTGAGGGTCCCTCAGTGATGGATGCGTGGCGCTCCGCCGTGACGCGCAGTGGGCAGGTTTGGCGCACATCGCGCCTGTGGATGAGATGATCCGGTTCGCGGCTGAACCATGAAGTCCCTCGGCGTGCCATGCGTCCTGCGCTCCGTCCTCCATGGGATGCAGTAGATGGAGAGCTGCGCTCAACTTCGGACACCTGAAGGCGCAGTCCAGGCTGCCCGTCTTCCTCACCATGATCCTCCTCTTCACTTACCTCTGCTACTGCCTCAGCAGCCGCTGCGACGCGCTGCCCCGGCCGGTGTTCAGCAGCGGCGCTCCGGAGGGCGGGCGGCTCCTGGGCTCCGCGGTGCCGCTGCTCCGGCACCGGCTGGCGGACTCCGCCGGCGGAATGCGGCCTCTCGACAACATCTCCATCTTCAATAACTTCGGCAGCAAGAAGTTCCCGCAGGCCATCATCATCGGGGTGAAGAAGGGCGGAACCCGGGCGCTGCTGGAGTTCCTGCGGGTCCACCCGGACGTCAGAGCCGTGGGCACTGAGCCGCACTTCTTCGACCGCTGCTACGACAAGGGGCTGGGCTGGTACAGGTAAGACCTGCAGCCGGAAAGGTGTGTTCAAACAGACATGGTGGAGGAGGAAAACTAAGATAACAACTTCCTGAACCAATTCTGCAGCCTGGAATGTTTCATAATAATAACATTAAATCTAAAGCTGACAGAAAAGTTTAGAGTAAGGCTGAGCGATGGGCTTAGAATTTCATCGGGATATTTCGGTGCTATTGGGTGAGAATCCTTGTTAAACGACGTTTAACTAAAGTCCTAAAAGGGGTTTTAATGTTTTTATCTTTTTTAATCTTTTTCAAAATGTCTTTCTCTTTCTCACTGTTTATTCAATGTCACATGCTGTTTTTATTTTAATTATGTGAAGCACTTTGAAATGCCTTGCTGCTGAAATGTGCTATACAAATAAAATTTGATTGATTGATAACGATAATTATAATTAAATACATAAATAATTTTTTTTTTTACTTATCTGTATGGTTGTGACTGGAAAAGCACTCATTGCGCCAGAAACACAAATCCTGCTCTTGGAAAACATTTGTGTTTGATACAAGCTTCTTCAGGATGTCACAAGTTAGAAATATATAATTTATATCACTAAACTGAACACAGTCACTGTACTTAATTTTACTGAATTTATTGATTATTCGTTGATGCTCTCCTGGAATAAACAGCTTAAAATATCATTTATGTCAATTTTTTAAACAAGGCAATAAATGAAAATTCTTAAGAAATTTGTAATGATAAATGCTAAACAATACAATAACTGTAGATTCATTAACAAATGACTGAATGAACTTATCCCAGAAATTATTGCATAAATGATAATATTGTTTTGAGACCATTTCCACATAATATATTGATAATAGCATAATAATGCAAGTTCTCCCTCTCAAAAATTAATAGTTTTTAACAAACATTTATCATTGGACATGGAAGACAGTTTAAATATCCAAATAAATAAAACAAGTAAAAACCATAAATAAAATGGAATTAAAAACCGAAACAATAAAGTCTCAGTAAACAAATATTAACCACCAGAAATTAAATTAAGCTCATTTGAATTTGTCATACAATTAATTGATTCATTGCTTCTTGTTGCTTTCATTTCTTTCCTCTTCATAATTTTAAGCCTCTTGATCGGTTAAATAAAATCAAACCTGAGAAAAAAATTTGAAAAAGTTTATGAAAAAATAAATAGTTTAATCTGATTAGTTTATATCTAGCACAATAAACCAAGTTTATGTATTTTGTGTATTTGGTCTCATATTTTGACGTGTTGTGTTTTATGATGCAGTTTTGGTAAAGAGGTTTAAATGTCAATGAGTTATTGTCCTGTTTAAATGAAGGATACAGGATAAATATTAATGCACCGTTACATATTTATTTTTATTGCTAAAGGTTTAAATTTGAAGTACATTTTATTTTCTTAAATGTTCAGGCTGTTTATGTCCTTTTGTTGTGTTAAAGGAAACTATTTATTTATTAATGACATTAAGAAAAACCAGAATCAAAAATGTCCTCATATTAGAGAAAACAGAGTCTGTTTTCACCAATCAGAACCAATCAGAACCAATCAGATTCTGTCTCCTACCAAAGAATCTCTGCTTATAGAAACGGTGAGATATTTAAAACAGTCACCGCAGGAAGATATTTTTATTAAACTCATATTTGTTACATTTTTCTTGACTATTTTACTCGTTCATCATATATTTAATAAGGAATCCTTCAAATATAATGAATCTATTTAGAGGAATATTAATTTATCTGCTTAGTATCTGTTTTTAACTTCATCTTTAATTGCTGTAATTAATGGTTTAGATCTGGGATCTGAGTTTTATTAGAACTGGGCGTCAGGTTCTGAGCGGGTTCTGACGGCCCTGTTCCTGGCCCGGTTCCTCTGCTGGGAACCAACTAAAACATGCTGGGAGGAAGAGCTGGCAGGTCGGTGGAGAACAAAAGCTTTCCTGTGGCGTTTCGCATCCTGCAGCCGGCGCTGCGGTTTCCCTCTGAATGATGGGAAATCAGAGGAGACGAAAAGCTGCGCTGCATTCAGGGCCCGTCGGTTTAAAACCTGGAGCTTTTAAACCAAACCAAACTTGTTTCCTCTGCCTTCATCCTGCTGCCATCAGGATTTAAATCAGGTTTATTCATAAGCTGCTTCCTCCATGCCGACGGTGACACGTTTTTATTTTCCCTCTGTCTCCATAGAGACGGTGTTTTTATTGGTTGTTTACAGTTGATCTGAATGATTCTGAAGAACAGAGGAACTGATTCACAACCTCACTCTGTTTTTGTTGAGGTTTTATGAAATAAACAACACATAGAAACATCCAGTTAAACGACCTGGTCAGGTTTTCTGTTAGAAATTAAAATCTGAAATGTGTGGAATTTCTGACACATACAATGACACTGTGACCATAAACAGGAAGTGGAGCTGACAAATATGTAAATGAGTCTGAGATCAGAGCTGATGATGGATGGAGATGGAATGAAAATGAACCTTTGACCTGTGTCACATTTTAGAGGATAACTGATGAGGAAGAGGAAGCTCTTCTTCCTCTTTAGACAGATGGAGATGCTGAGTCCTCAATGGTTTTTCTGGTTCACTGGTTTTCTGGTTTTTCTGGTTTTCTGGTTCATTGGTTTTCTGGTTTACTGGTTCATTGGTTTTCTGGTTCATTGGTTTACTGGTTTTCTGGTTCATTGGTTTTCTGGTTTACTGGTTTTCTGGTTCATTGGTTTTCTGGTTCATTGGTTCTCTGGTTTTCTGGTTCACTGGTTTTCTGGTTCATTGGTTCTCTGGTTTTCTGGTTCACTGGTTTTCTGGTTCATTGGTTCTCTGGTTTTCTGGT